ATTTGCGTAACAATGTTGTAGCTCTGTGATTGGTTGTTAGCCCATCGCCAGACGGTCAGTATGGCGGGGCTGTTATCTTCTGTTTGATTTTGGAGTTTTCTCTCCAAGACAGGTTTCCTTACCTAAATAATGTGTCCTGTCTACCCAGTTGGAGGAGACCCCTCCAACAGGAGGACAGGTTTGGTACAGAGTTAGGGCGTGTCCACACGCAGGTGGGCCATGCACTCTGAACCTCTAGGGCTCCTACCTGCTCCAAGATCCCCAGTTCTTTAGCTTAGAGCCGCAAGTAGTCCAGTTTATAGGTGTGACCACAGGGAGGTAGAGCTGGAGTCGTGGTGTAGGAGAGGCTATATACTGGCAGGGGAGACTTACACAGTCGATGCTAGTCAGCAGCAGAAGCTGAAGGCAAAGCAAGCAAGCAAGAAAAGCACTAACTATTGCACTAGACACATCACTAACATCTTGTGGCTACGCCATATGCATAACAATTTTAATTTTAAACTTCTATGCTCTTTATCCAATCGTGTGTAATTAAAACAATTTGACGATAATTTACAGAAGTATTTGGACAGTATATACGTTTATCATTTTTCAGTGCATGATAATCCTTCTATGGATGCAATGCTTTTGAATGAAACAGTTGTAATTTTTTACTTAGAATTACAATAATAGTTATATTATGTATCAAGTGTTTTTAGAATTATTTAAACTTTGCTTACATTGTGAAACTTGGGCTGTTAATCGAGTGACAACATGGCAACTAAGTTTATGTGTATGGCTTTGGTACTGGTAAGTTTATGCTGATACATTTTGTAAATGATTTAGAGTCCTCCACAGCCACATGCATAATTCATTGGAAATCATTGTCAACACACCACGCCCAGAACATATATTAATTCATAATTGTATTTTCCTAGTGTCGATGAACAAGAAGTAGATCATCGTAACATTGTTTGAAATTAGTTTCAAATTATAATAGTTATACACTTTTATTTGCGTATAACATAAAATTTACAGCAACGAGATAAAATATACCCAATACTTAACGTTGCGGTATATATACATTCCATTGTAAAACAAAATGAAACGCACAGATTTTATGTATTATGTGTTATTTTCAGATGCTGATCTGTATCATAATAAGTCCTACAGACGGGCATAGTTCAAGGTCGTTAAGTCGATCAGCCAGTGAATCATCAGAAACGGACAAATCGATCGGGCGTAGTTCAAGATCGTTAAGTCGATCAGCTAGTGAATCATCTGGATCGGACGAATCGATTGGGCGTAGTTCAAGGTCGTTAAGTCGATCAGCTAGTGAATCATCTGGATCGGACGAATCGATCTGGCGTAGTTTAAGGTCGTTAAGTCGATCAGCAAGTGAATCATCTGAAACGGACGAATCGATCGGACGCAGTTCAAGGCCGTTAAGTCGATCAGCTAGTGAATCATCTGAAACGGACGAATCGATCAGGGAATTGAGTGATAATAGTATGTATATATGTATATTATTACAATTACATTTACCTTCATGTATCACATATGGTGGTAAACATAATCGTGACCTGTCCTCGTGAAATGTATGAAATTGATATAATTATATTATACACTGTGAATTTCTTTTGGAAGAAATAGCTACTCAAAAAGTTCTAAGTTTTACAAGGTAAGGCTAAAAGATGTTGCTGATGGTTTATTTGATCATGTATTATTGTTTGCAGTATGTATATATAAAACAATAGAGTGTGGTATCTTGCAACAAAAACGAATAAAAATAAGACTACCCTTCACTGGATTAAATGTGTAGGAATCCAAGTAAATAACATACATTATTTTTCAAGCGGAAATAGCAGAAACATACATTTAATTATATTTAAACTATTACAGTTATCAAATTATTCAAGTAATAGAAATATTGCAGAATGTTAGTTGTGTAATTTGCATACAAAATAATACTTAATGCATAACTTTTTTTCTTAAGAACCATATGAATAATTGTGAAATAACGTAATGACATCAACCCAACCACTGATCCAAATGTTAGGGTTTCATGCACTTCAATGATTTTGTTTTTGGAAAGTAGTCTGATATAGTTTCCTATGCAAAACACTATGATTTGACACATTTTGCACTGTGGATCAAATAAAATTTCACTTCGTTTTAAGCTA